TTGGCATCATCAGTGAGATTTGCCATTCTTCGCACCAAGCTACCAACTCGTCAAAGTGAAGTCAATCCTTCGAGAAACGTTCTGCCGAAAACGGTTACACTATCACTCATTTTTCTGGCCTGGTCTATCTATCTACTCTTTACCCTCTTATCCAACTCCTGCCCTCACTGATGCTTCCGACTACGATGCCGGCGAAACGTTTGAGAATGTACCAAGTCCATGTCTGATGCTGGGAAAAATGACTAGGTGCGTCTACTAAGTCGCCCTGACAACAAGACCAAGTTGCGACAACGAGGTCAACCCACTTGTATAAATCGAAAGGAGACTGCAACCATACCGGAGGCCACAACATCTTGGTCTTCATATCTTCAATTAAACTACTTTTGTAAAAATTAAAGTTGAAAATATTTGTAAGAAGTGATCAATCGTCAATTATCGGGTTCTTAATCTTGTGTAAAAGTTGTATGTGAAGTTCAATTTAATCAAGAAGTTGGCTTCTACGTTTGCAGACACAGGGTCAAATAGCCCCAATTCATTCGATCTCAAATGTTGTCTTTTATGCAGGTTATCTTGGGAAAAAAACCACAATAATTTAAAATAAATACCAACATGATGCTACTTCTGGCCTATTGGGCAGGCAACACCGTAAATAATTAGGCAAAAGAGAAAAATTAACAGATAAGATGAAAGATTCTGTTTATTTCAATAAGGCTGAGATAAAACATCACCTCTAAGCAGAAATAGTTTTACGAGATGTTATGATGGCAAAATGCTCCGAATGTATAGAAATATAGGCACATATGATCGTTTTGCTTTTAGCCACGCCTTTGAAGAATCCACTTCGTGCCAGATTATCCTGAGTAAAATAGAGGCATTGCTTGTCTAGACTGGTACGTTTACTTTTTAGGATTCATAATGCCATCAAGTTGAGCCTGAAAAGTAAAATAGGGCAAACGATTAACAAAGCAAGTATCCTACCATATCCTCTATCTGGAAAAGTGTTAAAAGTAATTATGGAACCACGAGCCTTGTTTAATTTAAGATCCACTTTATCTAAAAAAGCGTAACGCGATTGATGAAAAATAAAAGTTGCGAACGATCAGGTGAATATCCTATGGTAGTGAGAAAACGCTTATTCTCTTCAAGTACACATGCAGAACTCATTACCTGAATCGAAGCAAACTGTGAAGAATAAATGACGCTTTTAAGAGAAATTACTATTAAAAAGACACCTACTACTGAGCTGTCAGCAGTAGTCAATTTCTATTTGCATTTTTAAAAGGCCGTGGATCACATTCAGGTGCAGTGTCTTGGGAGCACCGGTGGAGTTCGTAAAAGCCCAACCAGAACTGAAGAGGCCCCTTTGCAACAGCTCCTCGATATGAGCTATAAAGATGAGATCTACAAAACGATCAAATTTCCATAATTAAAATGGCCTAACAATTTGCATCTTCCTACTGACAAGCCGAAAGCTATGAGCTATGACTGCATCTACATGGCACTACCACAAGTGGATTTCCTAGTAAAATAGTAGGGTTTCGAGACTACCAATAAAACAGTTTTTATGAGATGTATTAACCCTAATTCGGTAGATGAATTTTCCTACAAAATAGGATTTTCCAAAAGGTATTCTCATCCCTGCTGGAGTGGACTGCAGTTTCGAGCTCGTCTAGATCTTATCAGCACCTTCAGTTGGACTCGAACCATGACAATGCAGAGTATAGTCATATATGAAGTGTCGAGATTATAGGCTGCATTGTCATGGTTCGAGTCTCGTAGGAGGTGTTGATAAGACCTAGACGAGGTCGAAATTGCCGTCCATCTTTGATGAGAACATCTTTGGGGAAGCAGGGTTATGTGAAATTCAATGGAAACGTCAGCTCTATTCAGATCATTGTGGGAAAATTCAACTACCAATCCATAAATTTTAAGCGAAATAAGGTGAATACATAAAATATATTCAACTATTTAACATTTCGTTAAATCACTTAGGCAGTCTAGTAGCCTGAAAAATATATGAAAGTTTATCAAATCTTGAATGGAATACATGCCCTCTGGATAAAACAAGAAAAAACCCAGCTTGATGAGTGAGAGAAACCGATATCTATTAGGAAGATGATAGTCTAGGTCTGCTCAAAATACTGCTATATGTAATTTTATGTAAAAAAACGCCGTCAGTTTTCATATGACTCTTACCTTTAGTTGTTGGTTATTCCTCTTCAGGAATTGAATCTCGTCTTGATGCTTTTTCTCCTCAACCTGACGCTGCTCTGCAGCCCGTTTTTCGATCTGCTCACATTTTGCTTTTAGCTCGTTGACCTGTCGTTCTAAATCACGCTTGTCTTGTTCCAGTTCTGCAATCTGGATAGGCAGCATAAATATAGAACTTTCATAAAATGGTCTGCTCAAAGTTGTGGGCAGACAAGTTCAAGCATAACGAGTAAAATCTCCACAGGCATCAATCACTAATACTACGTAACATGTATTAGGCGAGCATGCATTAGGCAAACGTGTATTACGCGAGGCTTGGTTCAGACCCACAAAGTGTTGAAAACAGATGACAAGTTGTACTGGTATGATATGGTTTTTTTTAATGACCAGCAATTAGTACTCCACTATTTAGTTTTTAACCTTGGTTGTCTTATTTGGAGAGAAAAATACATTTTATCATTGTTCTAAGACGCAAAAGCAATTTTTTAAAAATCTACAAATGCTTTTTACCCATAAATAATTATTCAGAAAAAGGACCGCATTTTTGGCAAATAATTCCAATGGCAATATAATACCATATCGTGTTTAAATGTCAGGTCTGTTGAATATACTCTTATTGGCTAAACCATTGTCAATGCATTCATAGTTTGCTAAAAAGCAAATCAATAAGCTATAAAAACATTTTATTTCCTTTCTACCACGTTGATTTACTGTTAATAAAAAGCTTAACTACGGATCATCATGTCGGAACATAATATTTCTTAATCGAAAGTATGAAGATCAAAATGGTGTGGCTTTTTGTATGATCGCGGTATCTCTTACTTGTATAGAAGTTGTTTGACCTTGTTTTCGCAACTTGGTCATATTGATAGGAAGACTTAGAGGAACCCACCTAGTCCAAGTCCATTGTCTGCATGATCATTTCCAAAGTTGAACCGTGGACGTGGTACATTCCCAAATGTTTCGCCGGTATCGTCAGTGAGTATCACCATTCTTAGCACCACACAACAACTCGTGAAAGAGACAAGTGAAGCCGATCCTTTGACCAAACGTGTGCTAAACAATTGTGGTATCGCCCCTTCTGCCCTGGGCTATTCGCGTTTCCGGTATCATCATATCATGCTTTCATTATTACAATTTTTACCGTGTTCATTTAGATAGCGTTGTGCTCCTTTGAACGATATGAAACCTTCACACTCCAACTGTCGTTCTCCCCCCCCTTTCATCCTTGTGTAGGAAATGTTGATCAAAGTCTGCTTTATTATTATTACTGTTAATCAAATGCTTGACTACCGATCATCATGTCGGAACATAATATTTCTTAATCGAAAGTATAAAGGTCAAAATGGTGTAGCCTTTTGTATGATCGCGGTATCTCTTACTTGTATAGAAGTTGTTTGACCCTGTTTTCGCAACTTGGTCGAGTTGTCAGGACGACCCAGAGGAACGAATCCTGTCCAGAGTTCATAGTATGCATGATAATTTCCAGAGTGTGACGATGGACTTGGCTCATTGGCAGACGTTTCGTCGGCATCTTCAGTCGGCTTTGCACGACATTACAACACGTCAAAGAGACAAGTTAAGCCGATCCTTGACCAATTGTATGCTCAACACTTGTGGTATCTCTTCTTTTGTCCTGGGCTATTCACCTAGTATCAACTCTTCGTTATCAGCATTTCTCAATTGCCTACATAAATGTGGTATAGTGCGCCGTTTTGAGCGGATTTCATGAGACCTCTTCATATCTCACACTGGCTTTATCACCTCCACCCTTGTGTTGGCAATGTTGATCTGAGTCTGACCTATTAGTGCGTGATCCTCTTCCTCCAGATCATATCAGAGTCTACCTTTTGCCCCGTAGGATCCGTTTCTTATCTCTCTGCTTTTAAGATTTTACCCAATCTGTGCCACCCGAGGTCTGGGCAGATGCCCAGCCTGGATTCTCAAGCTGGATGGGAGACTAACTTGAATCTACAGATCCCCTTTTCACCTTTCCACATGTGCACCGGGTAATTCAAATTCACAAGTCTTTGCTTCACAAACCACGTCTGTGATTAAACATGTCTAAGTAGGAGTGGGTTGACCTCGTTGTCACAACTTCGTCTTGTTGTCAGGGCGACTTAGTAGAATGCGCTTAGTCCGGAGTCGTCTGGCCTAGTAGTTGTCATGATTCCCAGCATCATACAATGGACTTGGTACATTCTCAAACGTTTCGCCGGCATCGTAGTCGGCATCAATGTGAGTGCTGCCATTCTCGGCACCAAGCTACGAAACCATCAGAGACAAGTGAAGTCAATCCTTTCACTAATGTTCGGCCAAAAACGGTTACACTATCACTCTTCTTTCTGTCTTGGCCTATCTATCTACTCTTTAGCCTCTTGTCATGACAACTACTATGGCAGACAAAGTTTGCAGCTTGGAGCGGAACATAATGCGTTCTACCAAGTCGCCCTGACAACAAGACCAAGTTGCAACATCGAGGTCAACCCAATTCTATAAATCGCAAGAAGACTGCGACCATACCAGAGGCCACAACATCTTGGTCTTCATATCTTCAATGTCGAAGTGGGGGTTCTAACTACCAATCCTTCATTACCTTAAACGAAATATCGTGAATACATCTAATATAGCATATACTTTTAGCCAAGTATCTCTAGTCTCCGCCGCATCTATAGTGCTCCTATCCATAATAACCAAGTGTATGAATTCCTAGGCCCTAGTCTCTTGTGTGCCAAGCCACAAATGTTCTGGCTCTTCTTGCTTTGCGTAGGCTTTCTGTAGACGTCTCCTTGAGATTTCTCTTCTTAAAAGTAAAGATGCTACCTTGATCCAGTCGTCTTCTTTTGGCTGATCTTACTGTTGCTTGGTCCTCTCCGAGTTTGTTTAAGCAATAGGCAAAGTTTTCACTAATTCTGTCTTCTTCAAGTCTTCTGTTGATTAGATTTTTTCCCGTCAGGTTATCGAGGACATCTCGAATCTTGCGTTATTTTATATTTCCATCATACGCCGCCAGCCTTAGGGCATAAGAAGTCATAGGCTTGGCGTCACGGATGGAAGCACAGAGATTAGAGTTAGTTGGCTAACATTATACGTGTTTTATCATATACGTGGTTCGTGAAGCAAAGGTTTGTGTATTGGAATTACCCGATGCACATGTGGGAAAGTGAAAAAAGGATCTGTAGCTTCAAGTTAGTCTCCCATCCAGCTTGAGAATCCAGACTGGGCATCGGCTCAGCCAACCGGGAGTATATGTGCCATCAAAGGCTTGGGGCAGAGCATGAGAAATAAGACCTCGAGTGGCACAGATTGGGTGAAATCCCAAAACCAGAGAGATAAGAAACGGATCCTACGGGGCAAAAGGTAGACTCTGATATGATCTGGAGGAAGTGGATTACGGACTAATAGGTCAGACTCAGATCAATATTGCCAGTACACAGGCCAAACAATTAATATTTTCGTTTAAGGTGATGAAGGACTGGAAGAAGAATTTTCCCACAATCATATGAGTAGAGCTGACGTTTCCATTCAAGTTCATATAGCCTCCTTGCCTTCCCTGAAGGCATTCTTGTCCAGGGTTGACTGCAATTTCGACCTCGCCTAGGTCTCATCAGCCTTCCTTTTGCAAAAATATTATAATTCTTCTATCAGTCCTTAATCATCTTAAACGAATTTGGGTGAATACATTTCATACTATTTCTTAGTTTACTTATTAAGGGTAACGTTAATCCTGGCCTACAAATATCGAATTGCTGTCATCACTACCAGACATAGCATGTTTATCATATTCCTTTCACTTTCTTAAGTAAACTATTTGGGGCCAAGGCCAGACAAATTAATTATTAGCATTTTCGTTTATAAGTAAGGTTTCGATAACTGATTGTTAGTATATAAGATTTTAAGAAGGTATGAATTGAGTAGGAATAATGATGAAAATCCAGGCGTGAGAAGAAACTCTAGCACATGATAAAGAATCATTATGTGAAGGCAGGACAAATAGTTAATGCTGATGAGGGAAATTAACTGATAGCCACTGACTACTTCAATGGAAATGATGCTAAAAATGGTACTCATTGGTATTACTAAAAAAATTAGCATTTATAAACCCAAACTTAGTTTGTTATTCACATATTTCAATGTGAAAAATGTAGCAAAAACTAAAAAGGTCTATATAGAAAAAATGGGTTTCGAATAATCCCTTAATAGATTAATGTTGGAGTACCTTGCATTTCGTTTGAATAGGCGAGTGGAAAGGATTAATAAGTTGGCCCTACCGCAAGCTCTAGCGGGATTGTAGATATAAAGACCAAGATGGCGTGACCTTCTGTTTGGTCGTAGTCTCCTTTAGCTTTATAGTGTTGGTTCGACCTTGTTTTTGCAACTTGGTCGCAGCATCAAGGAGACCTCGTGGAACGTACTTAGGGCGATCGCCTTGGAGCTGGGATTGTAGATTTGTACAAATAGATCCTCGCCGCATGGCCCTGCGACCCCGATGAGCTTTTGTCCGTCATGTGGTGAACATCGTCATAGCAGGACAACAGGTTTAACGATAATTCAACAAAAACACGAAGGCATCAAAACCTATTTCCTACTTATACTCCCATTTGGTCCATTTACACATCTCATGTTGTGGTAGGATGTCCTATGCTTAGCCTCGATATTTGCTCATAAGTTAAAAAAAGTGGCTCCGGATGACATGTAAAGTGGCTACAGATGAAACGTGAAATGGGAACAGAACGGCTGCATCCTCCCCTAAACCACTCATGCTTTTGATCATGCAATGTTACCGCATGTGATTGCGTCCCATTACATGTGGGTTGTGTGAATGCATTGCTCTTGAAATTATTGTGATACGAGAATCAAAACCAGATTCCAGCCTCCTTCTCTTGCTCGGTGGTACATATTATTCACCTCCTATCTCTCTCTCTCTCTCTCTCTCTAAACCTATCCAGCAGCCACAGTTAGTTTCAGCTTAACTTCCTACACTCATTCCTCCTATTCAGGGTGTTGATCGTTCTGATGATTTCAATCGCGTCCTTAATCTTTCGCTTACTGGTTGCTATAGTGCCTATATCCAAATAAGTGTTTGGGATTTGACCTGTCTATCTGGTGTCCTGTCCGAGTCATGTGTTCGGCCAATTCCGATTTATGCACCCACATACACTTGC